GATTTCCAGCCCTACCCGTGCCCACAGCCTGGGCTTTGCTTTGTTTTTTTTTTTCCCCCCTGCTTTTCCCCCAATGTCTCCTGGATCTCCTTCCCGCTGTCCTTTCAATAGAAACGCTCCCAGGATGTTTTTCCTGAGGCAGAGGGAGCCCGGGGAGCAGCCGAGCCTGGATGTGCTCCCTCCTCGGGATGAATCCAGGGATCCTGCTGGGCAGGAATCCTCCTCTAGGCACCTCTGGGCTGCTCCTCTCCCGTGGCAAAGGGGACGTTTTCGGCTCTGATTTTCACAGTGACGTATTTTTGCCCCTCCACGTAATTTTTCCTCGTGTTTCTGTCCCACGGAAAAGGCTCTGGGAGGTGGGAAGAGGTCACAGGGAAAGTGGGGATGTTTTCCCCAGAGCATCCAAACATGCTCCTGCTCTGCAAGTGCTCTGAGAGTCTGTAAAGAAAACTATCCCAGGTCGGGTTTAAACGCCAGGGAATTCATTCCTCACATTTCAGACCTGTTATCCTGTGTAACCATTTCACTCCCAGCATCCATTTAACCATTCCTGAGGGGATTTCTTATTTAGCTGGGAGAATCCACTTCCCAGCGGGATCCTGCTCAGCCAGAGGCTCTGGATGAAGAGCAAAATTGGAATTGCTGCCTCAAATCACCTTCAGGCGGCTCCAGGCTCTAATTCAGCCTTTTATTTCCTAAAGGAAAAGTTGAGCAGGACAATCCCTTTAAAAGGCAGGATAATGATGGGAAAAAGCTTTGGATCCTCTAACAGACTTTGAGGGAAGAGAGAAGGAAATCATGGAGTAACCAGCTACAACTCCATTAATTCCTGGGATGAGGGATCAGCTGTGGGAGGTTCCTGAGAGGTTCCCAGTATGGAAAGACTTGTATGAATTCCATTTAAAAACTTGCCAGTGGAACCTTTAATAAAGACACTTCTTTATTCCTATTTATCCACTAATAAAAGAATATCATGTAGGGCCACCTATGAGGCTTTTAGGTCTGAATGCACATTAATTCCTATTCCAAAATATGGAATTTTAGACACATATTCCTTGCATTCCAGCTTGCAGACCAAGGAGATGTTTCAAATCTACCTGCTCTCATTTTTTCCCCATGGAGAAAAGGTGGGAAGGCAAAATGTAAATGAAATATTCTGTTAAAAATGTTCATTTGCAAGTTGGATTTTGATGTTTTTCAGCTCAAAAAAAGCCCATTTTCTCCCACATGGTGCTCGTGGAGCAGGAAATTTATGAGCTGTGAGTATTGTAAAGAATATATTCACAAATCATGGGATGCTGGAATGGTTTGGGTGGGAAGGGGCCTTAAAATTCATCTCATTCCACCTCCTTGCATGGGCAGGGACACCTTCCACTATCCCAGGTTGCTCCAAACCCTGTCCAACCTGGCCTTGGACACTTCTTCCTACTGGGATTTTTTCCTTGGACTGGTTCTGTTGCCTCTTTACTCAAAACAGGAGCTTTGACTTGGGATTTTCCAGGCCTTCCAAGCAAAATGCTTTGACAAATTTCCCTCCTTCCACCTCAGGGTTTTTTTAGGAGTTTGCCTGAATTTGAGCCTCCAAAATTCAGTGTAATGATGATAAATCTCCTTGTTCCCAGGAGCTGCAAGGCCTGATGTGGTTGAAGTTGGGGTTTGTGTTTGGCAGGTGATGAGGGATCATCCTTCCTCCCCTCCAGAGATTCCTGCTGGATCCCATGGGAAGAACTTTCCCTGGCACACCAACAACTCACACCCTGAGCAACAGGACCTTCTCCAAACCAGCAGGATCTGAAGGAAGGCATCCCTTGCACATTCCCAACGTTCATTAGAGCATAAAAGTGTGGATTTCAAGACCAGCATGGAAAGAACGGAGTGAGGCGGAGAATTCCTGAATTATTCATCCATTCAGGAATTCAGGGTTATCCTCTAGAGGGGCAAAACTAACGGATTGTCTGTAAATATGGAGAGGATAAAAGATTCCAGGAAGGTGATCCAAGGGCTGGACCCCCTCTGGAGCCAGGCTGGGAGAGCTGGGGGGGTTCCCCTGGAGAAGAGAAGGCTCCAGGGAGACCTGAGAGCCCCTTCCAGGGCCTAAAGGGGCTCCAGGAGAGCTGGAGAGGGACTGGGGACAAGGGATGGAGGGACAGGACACAGGGAATGGCTTCCCACTGCCAGAGGGCAGGGTTAGATGGGATATTGGGAAGGAATTCTTGACTGTGAGGGTGGGGAGGTGCTGGAATGGAATTCCCAAAGAAGCTGTGGCTGCCCCTGGACCTCTGGAAGTGTCTAAGGCCAGGTTGGATGGCGTTTGGAGCAACCTGGGCTGGTGGAATGTGCCCCTGCCCGTGGCAGGGGATTAAAATGAGATCATCTTCAAGGTCCCTTCCCATCCATCTGGGATTCACCAATATCCCGGCACCAGGTGAGTGCATCCCCTGCTCCTCTGACACTTCCATGGACTCATAACTTAAAATACTCTTTCAATCCTCATTTTCAGCCCCTCCAAACCCTCCCTGTGGGAACAGCTGGGGAAGGACCCTCCTGCCCTTCCTTCCCCTCATGGTCCCATCGATGCTGCTCTGCTTCAAAACACCCAAAAAAAAAAGCCTGAAAACGTGGAAAACATCCCAATGCTCAGAAAATCTCCTCCTTCTCCACCCCCACCACCCCTGATGCTCCAAAGTGTCCCAGATGTTTGTAGGGAACCAGCCTGGCCACTCCAAACTGCTGCTCCAAAGAGGAAAACGAGGTTCTCCATGAGGGAATTAATGGATTTAGGGGGAGATCTTTGAGGGATGTCCTTAAAAAAAAAAAAAAAAGGAATGGTAAATATCCCAATTAATATTTCCACCGAATAATTAAATGTATTTCCATGAAATATAATTATAATCACTTAATGATCAGTTAATTTCACGATGGATCATTAGAATAATTTCGTGATTATGTTCAGCAAAAGCACAACGTGCAAAATCTTGGTATTTTGGTATCAAGTAAAGAAAATAATTTACATTTAAATTTAATATTTAATATTTATTTAATTAATATGAAATTTAAATCGAATATTTAATGAAAAAAATATCTTTCTAAGCCACTTTTTGTGCCAGAACCAGGGAATTACAGAAGTGTCACATCCAGGTGCTGCTCGATGGATCTGAAAAATCCCTTTTTTTTTTGTTGTTGTTTGACATGAAAAGCTTTAATGGGAACAACTCAAACCTTTTAAAAGGGACCTCGTGTCCCTGGAACCTCGTTTTGGGAAAAATCCTTTCACTGAGATCCAAGGCCAAAGGAGGAGCAGCAGCTCCTGGAATAAATGGGAACGAAAAGTATCAAACACTTGATTTAAGGTGAGTTTAAATATTAAGAAAGTTGCAGTACATGATCCTTCAAAAGCAGATTTTTTGTCAACTTTTCATATGATTGCAACCTAAAGATGGTTTTGCCACTTCCTGTATTATTTAAATATTAAAACATAATTCAGTTATGGTTGAGTGCAGTTTGTGGGATTAAAAAGTGACCATTTTTTGTTTATTTTAAGGGAAGAGATGGAGCGGAGCCCTCAAATCCTGATGGGTTTGGAGGTGTTTTTAACGTGAGAGAGACACCAAATTGTCCTGGGGAAGAATTATTTAGACAATTCTGAGATTATGTAGATTTTAAGTCATATTAGCAATTGATTTCTATTTTACTTATTGATTTCTATTTTATTTCTTTATTTGTATTTTACT